AACAATGTTCAAGAGGAAGTGTATTCATTACCTCACTCATGTAACTGTAACCCTCTGTATAGTATCTTTACAATAAAAAATTAAAAAAAAATAAAATAAAATAAAATGTGTGCAGTGAGCGGAGTGTCCTGCGCCCTGCTGGGCGTCAGCAGGCCCACCACAAGGGGCCAGGGCTTGTCTGCTCTCCCTGCGCTGGCCTAGAGTGACCCCAGCCCACAGCACGCACCCCGGTGTTGAGCTTGACCATGGTGTGGTCCTCCTCCATGAGGCCACCGATGCCATCCGTGGGGTCCATCACCCCACACAGGTTGCTGTCTACCGCCCAGTCGCTTGCCCGCCTCTCGTGTTGGTACTGCAGGGCAGGGAGCTGGATGGCTTGGATATCCATGCTGGTGTCCACTAGCTTGCCAACCCTGCCCCGAAACACAGAAGTACTGTCATAATTCAGCTCTCAGGTTGGGAGGAGGGACACAGGAAGAGGGCTTGGGTGGGTGGCTGGGAAGCAGTGCTACGTTAGCTTGTTCACTCATTCCATTATGCTCTCAGAGAAGCCTGTGCGTGGCCCATGTGCTCTCAGGCTGGACCCTGGCAAGTTCACACATGTCTCACATATGGGCTGTGGTTTTCTAAGTGTACAGGCATGCAAACTTCGGGCCAATGGTGCCCCTGCCCTGTCCCCACTCTAGAGCCCCCTCTACCCTCGGCTCTGGAGAGCAGAATGAGGCTGACTGCCATACTTTTTACCCTTACCAAAATTACCCCCAGTGCTACATCTGGGACCAACAGGAAACTCATGTCTACTGACCGGAGGAAAACCTCTTCCATAGTGGTAACTGAAGCCCCAAAGCTGGCAATGCCCAATTCCTTCTGCTTCTTCTCCAGTTTGGCAAAAAGACCTTCAAATCTGGGGGAAATAAAAAAGACCCAGAGTGGGGCTGGTAAGATGTCTCAGTGGTAGAGCGCTTGCCTTGCATGCCTGAGGCCCTGGGTTCGATTCCTCAGCACCACATAAGCAAAAAGAAAAAAGCCGGAAGTGGCGCTGTGGCTCAAGTGGTAGAACGCTAGCCTTGAGCTGAAGAGCTGAGGGACAGCGGCCCAGGCCCAGAGTTCAGGCCCCACGACCAGACCCCCCCCCAAAAAAAAAGACCCAGAGTGATGAGGTGCTTCTCAGACACTTTCTAGGTAATTCATTCCTAAATAATCACTGGGTAGAACAAGTAGGGACGGAGTATAGAAAACTTCTTGCAAGGTCATTATTTTATTTTCCTTAATTTGTTTTCAGTGCTTGGGGATCAAATTCAGGACTTGACCCATATTAGGCAAGCATCCTACCACTGAAATACCCGCAGTGCACAATGCCACTAACAAAATAAAACACTCCAAAACTTGGGTTCATATGATCTGGTGTTTTTTTTTTTTTTTGTCGGTCGTGGGGCTTGAACTCTGGGCCTGGGCCCTGTCCCTCAGCTCTTCAGATCAAGGTGAGCGCTCTACCACTTGAGCTACAGCGCCACTTCCGGTTTTCTGGTGGTTTATTGGAGATAAAGAGTCTCATGGACTTTCCTGCCCAGGCTGGCTTTGAACCGTGATCCTCAGATCTCAGCCTCCTGAGTAGCTAGGATTACAGGCGTGAGCCACC